ATTGATTCTATCGTCTGATTTTACTTCATATTGCCTTTCGTCCAAAATGGCATTGTAAATTAAGTAGATTCTAAGGATGAATTTCACTTCACAATGAATTTATCTATGGTTATTGTCAGGCAATTCTTTCTCAGACTTTTAATTAATTTTGAAAATTAACTGTTGTTCAATACACGTGCAGAGTCAATACGATTGAATAAATAATATTCTATGAATGTGATGTAACTATCGAATCACACCTAACTATCCAACAAAACCACTTTGCTATTCTGAATAAGGAAGCATTATATTTTATTGACAATTTTCTCATTGATAAATAACTTTTTTGACAAAAATATTTAAGTCTAAAACTATGTATAGCTTAATAACTAATTAAAATTCGATTCACAATACTTGTATAGGTGTTCAAAACAATAAACTATTTCTGTCTCCTTCACTCATTAATATACTACAAGTGAGAAAGACAGATTGCAGTTTCGTCTATGTACATTATAATATTAATAAAATTATTAACTAAATAACAAACAGTGCGACTGTTATTATTGTATTACGCATTGTACCCGTGTGTATCAAATATATTATAATTTTTTATATATATCATCTTACTTAACAATAATTTGTACTGTATTTTTTTTTATACCAAACACCGTTAAAATTCTCTTTGGTAAATTTGTACTATTCATTCTGGCCGCACACTAGATCATAAGGCTAGCCTATTTAAAGGCTTTGGCAGCGCAGCTAAACACTTGTGCCTGAAAAGTAGCAGATCAGAAAAATGCAAGCACGACTGCAAATATTCTGGTACCTCAATGACATTAAGCATCCAAATTAAGTTTACTGTTTAATGGATTGAAATTTCAAACCGTCATGGCGTCATAACGTAAACCTTAAACTCACAGTTCACTACTAATTACAATGTAGGATTTACACCGATTACAAAAAATAATAAATAAATCTACGGCCGATACTGAACGCGTCTATGAAAAGAAATAGGACCGGCATTGATAAATTATCCTCCAATAAAAAAGCAATTTTATTGGTCAATTTGCTAATAATTTTATTGTGATTTATGGTCCATCCGTAATGATACCCGTCGTCACTTTATTGATAGATGTCACAATGGAAAATTCAAAATATTATTGTTTCTTTTTTTTTTAAGTCAAACGATTTCATTTTCGCGGTCTCGGTTATGAAAGACAAGATAAAATCTTAAATTGGAGCGCCCATACTTTACAAGGCCCGACTATCGAATCCGTAACAATATTGACTCCGATTTTGAACAGGACTTGCAATGCCTTAGAGAAAAACATTATGTGGTGATATCAACGCGAATTTGTCACAAAACCTGACGTCACAACAAACTGCACCCCATACATTGTTAGTTCATTATTGGTAATCGACAATTTTTTAATTAAAATTTTTAGGATCATCGGTTTTTTTTTTGCTATAGTCACATTTGTTTTTACAAAAAAAAATACTATCTTGCAATACATTTTAACCTATTGTCGTGCAGTCTAACTCTAATATAATCTTACAAAATTATTAACGAAATCAGCAGTGTTTTTCGAATACGGAATAATACATTTCAGGGTTGCAGTGAAGTTTCTGAAACCGGTCTTTTGGGGTTAGTATTCTTCAAAACAGTAAAAACCACAAGATACTTTTAAAGTTAGACTAAACTACATCTAGATCAAAAATAATAAACAAAAAAAAAAGGGATTTGTTTTTTTGTATACGAAAATTAAAATTTGTATCTTTCAAATTGCTGTTTAAGCTACAACAAAATTATTTATGTCCATATAATATCATAGCACTAGAACATTCGTAAAATTTGATGTAGCTTAAAGGGCCTGATGTCGAAGCCGTGCAAATCATCTAGCAAGCATCCAAGCAACTTAATTTTCGGTTGCAAATAAAGGTTTGCGGTAAAATTAAGATCTGAATGTATTTGATACGTGTGCGGCCACGTTTGTCTGTCGTTCTCTGCAGGTACAATGCAGCTAAAAATAAAAACATTTGAACACAATCAATAGACTACATACAAAGGTCGCGACCTCCGTGAAAATCTAAATTCGAGACAATATAAAAATTTTCGGACATTTCACTCCTAGCTGTGGTTCTGAAATCTCCCTCCTAATGGAATATAGATGGTCACGGTGGGTCGTTGACCGCGCGTACAATTTTTTTTTTTTAATTTATTTGTTATAATTTTAAATTTTAATATAATTTGTTGTAATATGCGTTATCTTTTCGGCTTCGCGCGTTTTTCGTTTTTTTTTTATTTGGCGTGACGGAGGAAGACTATAGGAAGGCTCTTCATTAATTAATACAGCTATTTATACCTAAAAGTTTGGAGTTTCTTCAAATATAATGTGATTGATTGACACGGCACGGTAAAACAATGCTTTTGGTGAAATTTTTTTTGTAGAAACAATTTTATAGATTGAAGATATTGAAATTTAAAATGTATTATTTCAATTTTTTTCAGTTTTATATTGTGATTATATGTGTATTAAATATAATGTGATTGATTTTAACATGACACGACAAAACAATGCTTTTGGTAATAATTTTTTTGTTGAAACAGTTTTATAGCTTGAAGGTTATTGAAATTTAAAAGGTATTATGTTTTTTCTTCGGTTTTCGTGTTTCATACGTATAGTCAAAATTTACCATTTAACGTCGCGTTTTTCTTCTCATCATATTGATTCCAATGTTTCGAATATTTTACAGAATTCGTTATATACTATCCGTGATTATAAACTTGAAGTGTAGTTTTAATTACGTCTTATGTATTTTTATTTGCTGTTATCGATGGCTGTTTTCAATTGAATTAATTCCGATATTAAATTTTAATAGGGTTGTATTGTAATTGTTTGTCTAATAAATAAGTTCTGTTCTTAATTGTTAATCAAGATAGGTTGGTTTTCTGTTATTTATTGTTGCTGGAGTCGGTAAAATGAGTTTATAGACGAATTTAGAACATCTATGTATTCTTCACATTGGCTTGTTGGACTGCCCTTCTAAAGTAATTAATCCGACCTTATGTGATTCAAGCCGTGGTAAAATTTTATACCTTAATTGTTCCGAAAAAAGAATTATTTGAATTAATGTCATATTATGTTTTACATATTTTATGATTTATTTTTTTAAGTTTTACCTGCATAATCTGGTATAAAGTTTAAATAAATGTGTGTAGTTTTATAGATTTGACAAAAAAAAATATCTTCAGTTTTTTTTTGTTTTGAATTAGTTAATGTTAATGTAGTGAACAAATACATTTTTATGGAAGAATAAATAGGAACTTTTTTTTTTCATATTTAGTAACTTTGTTTAGTAACTTGAGATTATAAGTATAGTTTTATGAAATCCTTTGCATTAAGTCCGAAATTAAGTTAAACCTCCTGATAATACAATGAACGTAAATGGATTTTGTGATTTGATAATTTGAGTTCAAAAATTTATTTCGCATACATTAAGCGCGGTTAATTTATTTTCAATAAAACAAATGAAATAATTTGGGTCGAAAAAATCGTAACCTATAAATTGTGAAGCTTTGCAACATTTAGGAACTCGGCTAGGAATCTATAAAAGCGTTTGTATGACGAGACTAATCCTGGTTTCCGATCACAATATTTATAATTCCCTAGAAAACCGAATTTCGCCCCGTAAACGACGCGGAACCGCCAAGATAACGACCTCTATATATTTTCATTAAATTTAAATTACATCTTACGTACATACATAGGAACTTTCTTTAGAAGCTGCATCGTTTGTACAAGCTAACCTCCACACTCAACTACCGAATATTTAATTATTTAAAACAANGGTTTCCGATCACAATATTTATAATTCCCTAGAAAACCGAATTTCGCCCCGTAAACGACGCGGAACCGCCAAGATAACGACCTCTATATATTTTCATTAAATTTAAATTACATCTTACGTACATACATAGGAACTTTCTTTAGAAGCTGCATCGTTTGTACAAGCTAACCTCCACACTCAACTACCGAATATTTAATTATTTAAAACAAACTTTCCTCATTACTCAAACAAGTGTTGATAACAAGACAGTGGCCGCGTCCCCGACCCCCTGGTCCCCCGCGCATAGAACTTGTTAACTCATAGTCAGTCTTTTAATGGTGTAGACGGTTCGCTTAGTTTAAACATTAATCCAATATATTACTCGTAGCGTCTTAAAATAGTGTTTATTTATATAATTAATTCTAATATTTGTACTTTTGTGAGGTAGATTGTCGCCGCGGGGGACCGAAGGAGTCGGGGATCGCTTAAGTAACATATAATGTTATCGATTACATGTAAATAAGTATGAATGGAGGCCCGGCCCGAAGGAGGGGCGCGGGACGAGCTGAGCCCGCCACCGCGCCCGCTAACAATGACCCGTATGAGCGATGTGTTTCACAACTAAACTCGACCGACCGGGCCCCATCGACACCTAACTAATCAAATTTAATACTAATATTACGTTAATGTTGATCACTGCCCAATAGTACGTATCTTTGTGCTTAAGTCACTCGTCGACAACAATAAATAGTATCGAGTAGCTAAGGGAACGCGCGGCCTCCGTCCGGCGCTGTTTGTGTCGTTGTAACTCCAAAATATAACGTTTCAATAATAATATAATGAAATGTATGGGTCGCCAACAGCTAGTGTGTAGCCCGTGGGCCCGCAGTGAGAGGCGGCGCGAGGCAGCGGTGATCAACATCTTGCGCTAACACTACCCGAGCGCACCCGCGCATTACAAACCTTCCAATAATAAGTTACATACTACGGTGTATTTCTTCTCCCGATCGAAATCGACGTTTCAAAAACTCGTCTCGGACCGACCCGACGGAACATCCAGGAGATAATAATAAATAATCGAATTTAAAAGCGGCAACGTTTCACATTATATCACCCGTTTAATATAATTCTCAATAATATGAAGTTAGACTCTGACAGTAACAGAGGCCGGGGGCCGCCGCGCGGTGTGGCGCTCGAGCGGGCGGCCGCGGACAGCTTCTCCGATTACAATTATTACGTCTCATTATATTTTTTCAGCAATCGCTTGAAGGCACACAGCGTTAAATGTAGTGAGTAGAGTCGAGAGCAGCCGCGGGATGGGCTCGCGGCTAGGCCGGCGTGAGCGTCAGCGTGACGGTGGCGCGGCGGGTGGCGCGGCGCCGCACCGGCAGGAACACCAGCGACGGCACCAGGCTCAGTGCGCCGCCCGCCTCCTCCACCACGAAGGGCTGCATCGTGAGCGGCGCCTGCGGGGCTCGCGGCACCGCCAGCAGCGCACCCGCCCCGCCGTGCGCCGCCCTCAGGTGCGCCTCCAGCGCCGCGAACCCTTCCGCACGAAACGAGCAGCGTGAACACGAGTACGACGCGTCCGCCTCGCCCTCGATATCGTCCACCGCCTCCGCCTTGTGTTCGCCGCCCTCTGGCTCGCCCGCTCCGATCTGAACTTCGCAAGGCGTTTCCGCCGCTTCGCTCGCCGCCTGTTGTTGCTGGGCGTGCGCGCGCTCGTGGGCGAACAAAAACGCGAGAACGTCCGTCGTGAACGGACAGTATGAGCACGCATAGGGCTTGTCTCTCGCCAGCAGGTCTAGCGGTCGCGGGGGCGGGGGTGGCGGTCTCGCGGGCGGAGCGTGCTCTGCGAGCAAGTGGGCGCGCAGTGCACGCGGTCCCCGGAACCTCCGCGCGCACAGCGGGCACGGCTCCGCGGGCGCAGACGTGGCGGGGGCGGGCGGTGCCGGGATGCCGTGCGTGTTATGCTTGTGTACACGTAGGAAATATTTACTACAAAGCTCCTTGTGACAAATGTCACACGTGACGCCACCCAGCTGTGTGCCGCTCTCAAGCGAGATGCCGTGCATGCGCTGCATGTGAGTGCGCATGAAATATTTGTTGCACAGCTCCTTGTTGCATATTTCACAGAAACTCGATCCTGATGATGAAGCTCGGCGCTCGTCGGGCGGGGGCGGCGAGGCTGAAGGGGGCCGCATTCCGCCTTCTCCCGGGTCTTCTGCTAATCTCTCGGCCGCGAGCTCGTTCAGCTGCGATATCATCGTCTGCAGCTTGCGGAGTTCTTCGCTGGCGGAGCCCGGGGACGCGGCGCCTCGCTCCTCTACGATGAGATTGAGAGGACTCGTCTGTCCGTCGCGAAGTACTGCCTCAAAATCGTCTTCGCACTCTCGTTTTACCTCCGCCATCTCTTCAGTGTCGAACGGTGGCGGGAGCGAATGAGACCGCGGTGGCGTATCAGGCGGTGGAGCCGGCAGGGCAGGTGGCGTATTCAGCGGTGGCGGCAGTGGGGTTCCCAGCGGTGTGCCCAGCGGTGTACCCAAGGGCGTGCTGAGCGAGGTGATCAACTGTCCTCCAGGTGGAGTGATTGACGGCGGAGAATGCTCCATCGACAACGAGTGCATCAGTGGAACCCCGTGTCTTCTTTCCCTGTGCGTCCGCAGAAAATATTTGTTGCAATACTCCTTGCAGCATATCTCGCAGAACGCTTCAGGGTTGACGACTCCGAGCCTTCGCAGCACGTCGGGTTGGAAGCCGGCTTCGCGAGCACGTCGCGCTGAATCAGGCGACAGTCTCCGTGGAGTGCCGCCGGACTCCTCGTCGGATGCACGCCGCGGGGGTGAGGGTTGCGCAGGAGGAGGTGCGGCCGGCTGAGGCTCGTTGCCGTCGTAAATACCATGCTTATTGGCGCGATGCGTTTTAAGGAAGTACTTGTTGCAGAACTCCTTACAGCAGAGGTCACAGTAGGCTTCCGGATTGAAGATGCGCGGTGGATCGTGTCGCGGTAGGAGGCGGAAGGCGGCGAGCGGGTCGAAGGTCGGCAGCGCGAGCTCTCCGAAGGCGAGAGCGCTCTTGTAAATGTCTGCCATCTTCGCGTGCAGGTCTAGGGGAGGGGGCGCGGGCGGGGGCGCTCGGGAGGGGGCCGCCTGCTTGCGTCGCTTGCGCCCCGGACTGCCGCCGCCGTTCTCCAATTCCACCTCGCGCTTCACCGCCGGCGCCACTGACATCGCGTCACCGCCGCATCTGGAAATCACATATACGAATAAATTAATTAAAATATCACAGAATAGGTATGTACTCATATAAGATTANTCTAGGGGAGGGGGCGCGGGCGGGGGCGCTCGGGAGGGGGCCGCCTGCTTGCGTCGCTTGCGCCCCGGACTGCCGCCGCCGTTCTCCAATTCCACCTCGCGCTTCACCGCCGGCGCCACTGACATCGCGTCACCGCCGCATCTGGAAATCACATATACGAATAAATTAATTAAAATATCACAGAATAGGTATGTACTCATATAAGATTAAACATTGACAATTCATGTTTGTGCCTAAATAACTGGAGATTCCCGTGTTGAAATAAGTATTTTTAAGTAATTTAAGCTTATACAATTATAAAAATTTTCGAATAACATAACAATTATTAAAAATACTTTTGCGGTTTAAACTCGCGTATTATCTACCTATATATATAAAAATGAATTGCTGTTCGTTAGTCTCGCTAAAACTCGAGAACGGCTGAACCGATTTGGCTAATTTTGGTCTTGAATTATTTGTGGAAGTCCAGAGAAGGTTTAAAAGGTTGATAAATATGAAAATGCTCGGAATTAAATAAAAATAACAATTTTGTTTTTCCTTTGATGTGTCCCCCGTCGGACGGACTCCTTTTGTTTGTTTTAACTGTATTTTATTCAAAAGTTTAGGTCTTTTATTTATCGATCGAGGCACTACGAAGTCTGCCGGGTCAGCTAGTTGCGTATAATATTTGCGAAGTTTCATATTGAAGTATTTGATATTTGATTGACGTAATAGGTTGGAGAAAAACTTTCTTCGCATTTTTTTAAAAAAATCTTTTTTTTTTAATATAGTTTATTTACATTTAACTGAAGTATGTAGATACCATTTCGTTTGATAACTGTTTGCCATCTTGTAGGTAGGGACATGATCCCATTGCTATATAAATTTTGGGGCTTCTGGTCAAAATACCGCGACAATTGGTTTTGGCAGTCCTCTCGTGATGTTAACCTGACACTGCCTAAAGAGTTCTGAAGAGACCGAAACAGGGTTACCTGATGGTGAGTGGTTACAATGCCAAGGGCAGAGCCAAGCCTACCGCTTAATACTCTCCACAAGCCTCGTTTGAAGAAGGACATGTCATAGCGCTCAGGAAACACCATGGAGGGGAGCTCTTTCCATAGCCGGATGGTAGAAAGCTGAAGGTGCAAGGTCAGGACTATACGGCGGATGCATTAACACCTCCCAACCAAGGTCTCTTATTTTTGCTGAGTGGCTAAAGTATGTGTGAGGTCTAGCGTTATCACAATGAAAAACCACACTCCTTCTGTTGATTAATTCCGGCCGCATTCTCTTAACTTCTGCCTTTAATCTCATCAGTTGTTCGCAGTAGAGTTCAGAATCGATGGTCCTGCCTGGTGGTAACAGCTCATAATGAATAATGCCCTTCCAATCCCACCACACACACAGCATCACCTTGTTGCGAGTTAGCCCGGGTTTCGCAGGCAGGACCATCGATTCTTTAGGCAGTGTCAGGTTAACATCACGAGAGGCCTGCCAAAACCAATTGTCGCGGTATTTTCTTCAGAAGCCCCAACATTTCTATAGCAATGGGATCATGTGCCTACCTACAAGATGGCAAAAAGCTATCGAACAAAATGGTACCTACAACACTTTAGTTAAATGTAAATAAACTATATTAAAAAAACATGTAAATTTTCTTAAAGAATGCGAAGTAACTTTTTCCCCAACCTGTTATATCGATAATAGTACTCTTGAATAGTTAGGAAGCTCGTAGATTTAGATCTGAGCTAAATCGTCTCAATGAATTGTCATTACGAAGCATGTCTTTTAGTTTCTAAGTCTACATGCATGAGTTTTTGGTTTTTTTTTTTAAGTAATCAATTTTTATAAGATCGTAGTTAGGAGTGAAGATTACGAAGATTAAAAGCTTTCACACATTCGCTTAGCTTTTACGAGCGAACATTTGACAACAAAGTCATTAAAGAAACGAGATTAAGATTGTTTTATTTTAAAAAAAATGTCTACTTTTTGATAAGGGACATTAATAATAAAGTGAAAATTAAACACGCTTCGAAAAATTATAATCAACAACACTAAATGTTTAATATAACAAAATTAGCAAGAAAATAACTTCCATTAAAAAACTGATCAGATACAGTTTTAATTTTAATCTTTTTTCTGTTGTTATAATTATTAAACTACAAATTCGATTTCTTAATATAGTTAGTTACACGATAACCAATAAGAATGAGGGGATTAGTAATTGCCAATTGTTTTCAAGTCGCCATGGCCTAAGATATAAGACGCCAACCATACCGAATGATACGACTGTGTCGGTGTTCAAATCTCACAGACGGTCACCATATTTTAAAACATTTTTTTGTTTGTTTTCTTTATTGCATTGATGGGTGGGTGGACGAGCTCACGGCCCACCTGATGTTAAGTGGTTACCGGAGCCCATAGACATCTACAGCGTAAATACCAACACCCACCTTGAGATACGAGTTCTAAGGTCTCAGTATAGTTACAACGGCTGCCCCAATCTTCAAACTGAACCGCATTACTGCTTCACGGCAGAAATAGGCATGGTGATGGTACCTACTCGTGCGGACTCCTAAGAGGTCCTACCACCACTAATTACCCAAATTGTGGCGTCTGTGGGATTCGAACACCGACACAATCACATCGCTCGATACGAATGCACCGGACGTCTTATCGCCTAGACCACGGAGACTTCGAAAAACAAAACTGCGTAATGATATCTCAAATCATTTTAAGTGAAAATGAAAGTAACATTGTCCTTAACTAAAGAATATTTAGTTGCTTTTAATTAATGGTTTAAGTGAGGTGCTGTCACAGACATGAGATCTGGTAAGCATAGCTTGTATGCTGTAAAAAAACGAATAAATTGTCTAATAAGCAATAACTAATAAGTCACGTAATAAGTAACAATTTTTGTAAATAATAAAAAATAAAACCAAATAAAGTACCTGTTGTTCAAACTCAAGTCTAAACTTTTTTCACTCATTGAAGCTTTAAGCTCTTCTTCTCATAATAAGTAAAACTAATTAGAGAAATAAAACGAACAGTTTGTTAAACACTTTGTAACATTAAGTACGGTCGGCGAGAAAAACACTACGAAATTAAGTAGGTACAGTCGATTTCGAAAATTTCACTATTTGGTTTTTTTTAAATATATATACATATTATTATGTATCTCGTAACTCCTGTCACCGTGTGTGCGGGATGGCAAGGGCACGTGTGGCCCGCGGCGCGTGCTCCCAAAACTGGTGTTTTAAGTAAAAACGCGTGCCTAACTATTTTTTGGGTAGAAAATAGCAAAAATAATTCACCCCACCCAACTGCCCCTGGTCGCATCGATTATTGACATGGGGCCGGTGCATTACGTGTAAAGGCCGGTTCACATAGAGCAATGTTTTAAAAGATATTTTCGAGGGTAGAGACGAAAAAAAAAAATTTTTTTAAGTTTTATTTTAATGATAGCCCGTCTGTCAGAGTGATTTGACACTACACTAAACATGACTTCTATTTTGGCTCAGGGCTTTGCTCATGGACGATCATTAACAAAATTACTCAGAGCCATTTACATACAAATTTAGATGTCTCACGGGATAAAATTAGTTTTTTTGTTTTGTTCCACTATTAAATATTCCGCCTAATCATAGTTTCCAGCACCCTTGTAGATATTGCACCTATCAATACGCGATCCTGCCGTGTCATGTGATAAAACGCAAGTATCAAAATTATTTTAAAAACTATAATAGGTTTAATAACAACTGTAATAGTAACTCTAATATCTTCCTACTTATTTCTGCCGAAAATTTTATGAGTACCAACTACTTCGAAAAGAAAACAGTGATTAAAATTCTACTAACGCAATTCTGAAGATAAAAGGACAATCAGGTATTCTGAAAAAAATTGTAGATGAATAAAACAGCAATGGTATTTTAATTGAAGCTGTAAGTTATTCGAAATATTGTATAATATGTATTTAATAACAAAACTACAATACTAAACAAGAGATCAAACCGTAAAATTAAGTTTTAAATGTGTAATAATCTGTATCACATGTAGACCGTCCTTTACATTCAACAATACAACATTGCTTTCCGAAAATTTGGAAACATTATCAAAAGGGCGTCCCTTCGTAAATATATTCCGTCTCTTTCTCGCGAACTAATCTCATATACACCGACCTCTTCACACACCTACTCGATATTCGCTTATTGTACTCTCTCACTCTAACTATAACGATGAAGAATTAATGAGTATGATAATTAAAAATAAATAATTGTAAATAGACATGCTTTAACATTAAGCGACTTCAAATAGAAAAAAAAAGATATTCTAAAACAAATACACTTAAAAAAATCATCGGAAATCGGTTGGCGTAATACTGAGTTATTCATCTATTTGTCGCGCACGTACTTAATCCAAAATTAAGACTTATATGATTTTCTCATGGATACCTTCATCAGAACTGGACTAAATTGAAATAGGACCACACGGGAAGCGTCAAACATCAAAAAATCATCAAAATCATCAAAATCACGAAACATCAAAATCGATTCACCCAGTCAAAAGCTATGAGGTAACAAACATAAAAAAAACATACAGTCGAATTTAGAACCTCCTTTTTGAAGTCGGTAAAAAAAAATTGATTCGTTGTTTTTTTTTAGGATTGAAGAATCACTGGTGGCCCGTTGCTCTTTCCAGTTTCACCAGGACAGGTGGGCGAGCAAAAGCTCAGCCAGGAATGCTTCGACGTAAGTTTGGCTCAGGAAAACATATTATTACTAGCTGACCCGGCAAACGTTGTGTTGCCTTAAATAAGATTTCTAGGGAAATTCTACTGTAGAAAAAAAAACCTCATTTAACCACATAATACCTCATTATAAACAAAAAAAATAATATCCAAAAAATAAAAATAAAAAATAAATGTTTGGGGTGGACA